TGAAAAAAATAAAGGAAAAAGGACTAGGGGCGTGGCTTAGGTGGTAGAGCTGGTGCCTAGCAAGCCTGAAGCTGGAGTTTAAACTCATCTACCTCCAAAACAAACAAAGAAACAAACAAAAAACAAAAACCCGAATAGGCTGTTGCCTAAGAAAGTGTTGTTGTTGTTGTTGTTTTTCCTGGCCAAGCAAGAGCAGGGAATCACAGTCACATTTACAGAGAGGACAAAAATAAGTTCAACAGGGGTCCCAGCTGTGTCCACGTGGTGGGAGGGGCGCACAGATGAAGCAGGGGCCTAGAGACCTCTCCCCTTCAGGTGAGCACCCACTGCGTATCCCCGCCACCCACCTGGATACAGGCGGACTGCAGGGATGCTCATGCCGGGGGTGAGGGTGCTGGGCGTGGATCCCTTCCCTTCGCTCCTCCCCTGGAGTCCCCGCCCCCTGACAAGGCAGCCAATCGGAACCCGGCCGCCGCCAGTCGGCGACCTGGCTGCGGTGGCCGCAGCGTCCGGAGGCTGCGCCGGGAGCTGGAGCATCAAGGCTACCTGCGTCAGGTAAGGTGCTTGGTGGAGGACCTCGGGCAGGCGCGGGGGATAGAGCGAGTGTGGGAGAGGGGACAGGGACGGGGTTGGGGTTGGGGTGCGGCATTCACGAAGGGCTAGGGTAACAGCGCGAGGGAGGCCTGGCTCCGATCCCCCCCAGGACCATCGTCCCCGAGTCGCACGCAGACGCGGCCCTGCCCGTCCCGCCCGGCCCAGCGGGAGGACAGTCGCTGGCCCGAGCCTGTGTGCTCCCTGCCCGGGCCTCTCTCAAGGAAACAAAGGAAAATTCGTCTGCATTTAGGTCTTAAATGTCCATGTTTCCATTTCTGAATAGACCGACTGGGCTGGCGCAGCTTCCCTGCACCCTGCGGTCTAGGCCGCCGACGAGCGGGTGGTTGCACCAGTGCTCGGGCCCCGGAACTCGGCCCTGGGGTCGGAAATGCCCTGTGGGCTGTGCCCCACCAGGGCCCCACCAGTGCTCGGTGCCCTCTCCTAGCCGCACTTTCCTCTTTGGAAACTGAAAATGTGCTGTGGGGATTACACGAGTTCATGTTCTGTAGCGTACACTTTTCACATGAGTCGCTCAGAAATATGGCTGACCGATGACTTTCTCTCCTGCGCACGCCTGTAATCCTAGCTACTCAGGAGGCAGAGATCAGGAGGATCACTGTGCGAAGCCAGCCCCAGCAAATACTTCGGGAGACCCTATCTTGAAAAAAACCAGCACAAAAAAGGGCTGGTGGACTGGCTCAAGGTGTAGGCCCTGAGCTCAAACCCCAATACTGCAAAAAAAAAAAAAAAAAAAAATTTGAGATATCGTGCTTATATGCGGTTTTGGATCCTGAGTTTTAACTTTACATACGAAGTTTCCATCCTACACTGCTATGCGATCTTGGGCACATTAGCTAACCTCGTGGTGCCTCAGGCCTCAGTTTTCCTTGTCTGAGAAGTGGAAATAATCTTAATGCTTACTTGGTAGGATGGTTGTGTAGAATAAATGAGTTACCAAACTAAGTAGCTCGTAACATGGTAAGGAATCAGATGTTCGTTCTCGTTATCATCATGTGTAAGCAAGACTGTGCTGAAAGGCTTTTCATAATTAATGTAATTTCCATGATATTTTAAGAGGATTTTGAAATTGCTGAAACACAGAATATTGATATATTAATCATTCTTGTTCCAAAGATTTTTTTTCTACCACTTGAGCCATGCCCCCGGCCCTATAATTATTTTTCAGATGGGGATTCAAGTTTTTGGCAAGGGCCAGCTTCAGGCCAAATCCTCCTAACTTATGTCTCCTGAATAGCTGAGATTACAGAAGTCACCATCACACCCAGCATTTTTGTTGTTGAGATGGGGTCTTGCTAACTTTTTGTCTATAGACTTGGCCTCAAACCACAGTCCTCCTGATCACTGCCCCGGAGTAGCTGGTGTTACAGGCATGAGCCCAGCCCTTCCATTACTTTATGCGTTCTAGAAAATACATACTGAAGTCAAGTGGTGGATAAAATGTTATAAGGGAAGTTCTGTAGCCAGAGATCTAACTGTACATGAACTTTCAGGAATAAGAAATTGAATTGCTGCTTTAGTTCTCGGGTATGGTTGCATGAAGGAATGCTAAGTCATTCTGGGGTTGTTTGTAGATACTATAGAGTCATTTAAAAAAAATCCTCCTAGTTCAACTTACTTTTGCTCTTTGGTGCACTAAAGCAAATGTTTGTGGTGCCTGAGAAAACAGTTGGATATTTTATATACCTTGCACTTTTGTGCAGTGATTTCTTTCTTGGAGCTGAAGTCCCTTTTCCTACCACAGAAACCAACCGTGTCAGAATACCTGAGAGTTTGCAAGTCCTTAAAGTTTCCCATCTGAATCTGAGCATTTATTTGCTGCCCCTTAAACAACTGCATAGGAAAACAAAACAATGAAAGAATATGGCATGCTCCATGTAGAGAATGAAGTAATTTATGCAGTTAATATTAAGGATGTAAATGAACCATTGTGAAATCTTGCTTGGTTGACCTGTAAAGAAAGAAAACGTGCTTTCTTTAGAGGTCTTTAAAAGTGTATTATTGAGCTTTTAAAATGTTAGTACCAAAAGTCCAATCCAGCTGTATTTTGCTTGTGGAGAAGATTTGCATTCCTCCTGCCCACACTTGTGTGCCGGCATTCATGGTTTCATGTAACACTAGGTCAGGGAGAAGTAATGTTGCCGTAATAGGGAACCAAGGCTATGACCAAGACCTTCTGTGGGGGAAGGGTGGTTGCATGCCTAAGTTATGGCCTCTTCTCAATCAGTTTTCCAATGAATTGCACATTGTTTTACAGTTATTTCAGATAATAAGCAGCTCTTTTAAAAATATGGATATACCCTTTCAAGTTTAAATATATTAGACATTTATTCCTTAGTTAAAAATAGTCACAGATTATCTCACTTACTTCCTGTTATGTCAAGATGACTTTAAATAAAAGGCAGAAGCTTTTGAAATGAGGATAAGAAGGAAATGGAAGACTAGGGGCTAGGAAGGAGGGTTGGGGAAGGACTGGCTTTTGCTGGAGGGGAAGGCAAAGCCAAGGGCAAGTTCTACCTGTTAGCACTTTTGCATCTGGGGCCTGGAGGCAGCAGCTTCGTATCTCTGACAACTTGAGCCTTTCCCCTCAGGAACCAGAAGAGAACTAAGAACTTTCAGTTAACCAAGTCAAACACCCAAAAAAATTATGCCCAAAGAGAACAACAACAACAGCATCTCAGCGCCAAAAGAGAGTGTAGGATCTAAAATCATCTATTTTCCTCTGCTCCCTTTTCCCTACTTTTTCTAAGTGCAGAAAGTAAGGGACCAGGCGACCACATGCCCAAGCCTTAATCACATAGCTAGGAGGTATCCAAGCCAGGCCTAGGATTCTGGTCTCTTGAGTCACAGGCAGGTACTTATCCCTAGAGAGACAGCTTGAGGGTATGTACCTGAACTTATGTTTTGCGGTCAAGCCAAATAAAAGCTCAAACTCCAAGACTGCTTATCAGACCTGGTGTAATAGAAATAAGAGGTGAAAAAACCTGCCTTGAATTGCTTTAAATAGGCAATTCAAAGCAAATTTACGCAAAAGAGCTGACCTTTCACTTTTTGTACTGAACAGCTGCAGCCTCAGCTGTCCTTATGCAATAATGCAGAAGCAAAGTCAATGTTCTTCAGAAACCAACTCAAGATTTCTTCTGCTTCTCCCTTCCCCCGTCTTCTTCTGGAAAAGCATACCATGTTTCTGATTGGGAAGTTTCATTAATTTGCCCTCATTTAATTGATCAATTTAATGCAATCATAGTCACAGTTTATAACTGATGCAATCATGATCATGTAAGAGTGGATTTTTTTTTTTACTTGATAGAGATGTGCTAAAGTTAATCTAGAGATTTGAGCAAATGAGAATAGATAAGAATACTGACAAGATGAATGAGCAAACTTGAAGGACAAAGTATCAAAATATAGAACTGCGTTCATGTAAACAGGATATGAATTATAGATGTCGGTATATAGATCAATGGCATGGCTGAGTCAGTGAAATAAAAAAGCAACTGTATTAATAAATATCTCTGAGGGAAAGGATAAATTTTGGTGAATAATGTGGAAACAATTTGATGCTTTGGAGAAAAGTAAAGTGAGAATCTTTCCACATGCCATATGGGAAAATACTTTCTTTTTTTTTTTTTTTGAGGTACTAGGGATCAAATCCAGTCCTTGTGAATGCTAGGCAGATGGTCTACCACTAGGTTATATGTCCAGAACATCTCTTGGAAAAATCTTTGTAAACATCATACCAAAGTCAGAAAACTTAGTGCTTCCATGTTTACCCACTTAGATAATAAATCATTGAAATAAAAAAAGCCTAAACAAACCTAAATCTCTTGTTATAGGATTAATTCTTAGATGTTTTAGGATCTATTAAAATATAGAAAAAAATTTTCCCTGGTTTCTGTTTAAACATAAACAAGTAGACAGGATGGTGGAAAAGGAGAAGAAAGATGTGTGATGGGCAGGTAGGGTGTTGTTTTCAGTTGGCTTTTATCACTGTGACAAAATACCTGATATGGTGAACTTGTATGGAGGAAAGGTTTGTTTTGACTATGGTGTCAGGTTTCAGACCATGGTTGGTTATCTCCTTGTTTGGGGACCTGTTGTCAGGTAGTATACCATGGTGGGAGCTCATGGTGGAGGAAACCGCTCAGCTCACGGGAGCCAAGAAGCAAAGGGAAAGAGGAGGACTCCTACATTTCCCAATAGCACCATCAGCTGGAATGAAGCCTTCCACATATGGGTCTTTGGGGACATGTAAGATCTAAACTATAGTATGTGTTGAAAGGTGGAGCCAGATCTCAACTGGTCTGATGTTGCTGGGAGTTGAAAGTTAGAGACAAAAGGATATGGGAAGAATCTGGCTAACCTTTGCAATGATGCATCCCTGACAGGTCTCCCAGATGCTCAAAGCTCTATGAGCACCCCAGCAATGTAGTTCATCGCAGATGATACACACTGATACCTAAATGCGGTATGGTTTCTAGGTAGGACTGTGTCTCATGCACATGCATCTCTCTAAAGATGCTTTATGTTTTCTTTTGTTTTGCTTTCCCCACATTCTGCAGCAAGGTTTGTAAGTAATTTTTTATGTTTCATAGACTTTTATTAAAGGAAAGCTTTCCTATAAGTTCTAATTAGAAAGGGAAAGCAAGTAGTAGTTATGTTTCTACAAGGACAGAGCATTCAGGGTAATTGATTTCTTCTGAATGTTTGGGTCTGGAGACAGAAATAGGAAGCAGTGGGATTGCCTGGTCAGAGGCTGTGTTGTTTGCATTTTAATATGTATTTCTGATCTGCCTTCCTTAGAGCTAGTACCCAACTATAGTCCCTCAAGAATGTCAGAGGGTGTATGTTCTCCACCACACTTTGACCAATACACTCTAGCAAATATTTTGATCATTCTGCTTGATAGGACATCTTGGTGATGTCATAATTGACATCCTGTGAGCCTGTAAACATTTTTGAGTTGGAACTGACTTTAGAGTTGAAGTCTAACCATTTACTTCACAGATGTAGAGCCTGTTCATCCATGATTGCTTGGCAGTCCATAATGACCCAGAACTAAACAGCAGGTCTCCTTTATCCTAAAAACTCTCTGGGTGCATGTAAGACAGCTCCTGTAAGAACTCTGGAGTTTAGCTCAAGAACCAGATATTCTGGAAATGGCAGGGTAGTATCATAAGGCCTTAGGATGAGGCCAAAGGCTGAGACCCTGAATGCTAAGTCTATAGTAGTCTGTTTAGTTGCTCTTTTAAAAAACAAAGTCCTCTGGGAACTAGGTCAGGAGTACTTTTACCTTTCATGAACTTTAGGTACCTCCTCTATAAAATGGAATTAATATTAGCTGTTTTGATGAAGGTTGTGCAGATTGGAGTTATTATCTACAAAGTAGCTTGCACAAATAGGCTCATGACTGTTTTTATCCTCACATTTGTGAGTTTTATTATCTGTTTTCCTCACTCATAAGCTCCAAGGGAGACTTAAACTGAAGTTCTTCCAGTATGTCAAGTACAGTAGAGTGTTGGGGAGGCAACCAGAGTGTGCTGTTCCAGGCCCTCTGATGTCCAGGACACTGCTCCATGCCACATATACTGCACTTAGTCCTGTACCCTTCAACTCCCCACCCATGGTCTAGCTGTCAGCGTTTTAGTCATCCTTCTGAGATAGTTTATGCACAAAAGACATCACACTTACACTGACTCTATAGGATCTGAGAAGAAGGTCATCTGATTTTGTCAAACTCTGCCTTTTAAGGTTTTCCTCTTAGCAAAATCTCTTTTTCATATTTGTCCAGAGATAGGAAAAGACTTCAGATAGGAATAACTTTCTGTATAGCATGTGCTGACCAGGACTTGAGACCTACTCTGAAAACAGAAAAGAGCAGTGGGGAGAGAAAAGGGAGGGAATGACTGGAAACACATTCTTCTCAACAGAAAGCCCAGATGATTACCATGTGGTATTCTTCAAGTGGTCCTGGAGTTGCCAGAGTCGAGGGTTTTTTAATAAATGGAGATTATTATTGCATTGTTATTGCTGATTACCATCCCTACATGTAGCAAAAAGGAATCAGATCATGTGCAAGGTTGGGGGTCCCTCAGTGTTCACCTTCTCCCTTGACCTCCTGGACATTGCATACAGGGAGAGGGGCTAGGGATGTGTCTTTAGTCTTTCTTTTAACATAATAAATTCAAATCCTCTAAAAATTCAGCTTGGGGGGGGAGGGAAGGTACATGTTTCTTATTGCATTGCTTGTCTCCAAAAATAAAATCTAGTTAAAAAGATATCCTTTCCATATACTCTTCTACTTAAGAGCTGGATCTTGGGGTTTGGAAATGCCCTTTGATAGGAAGCTCTGCTGGCATGACATTTCAAGGAAGTTTTCCTCCGTTAGCCTGTTGGAGGGCACAGGTTGATGAAGGCATTTGGAAAGACGAGACTTATGGGAGAGGAAGTAATGGAGGAGAATGTGGGAATATAATTAGGAGAGCATTTGTATGAAGTTTGGGGAGGTGTCACTAGAATCCTGAATCTCTGCTTTTGTCTTCACAGGCACTGAAGGAAAAAAACCAAGATGAACACAGAAGTAAGTCCTTTACAAAGACCTTTGTTGGGATGCCTTTTTTTGCAACACCCCTAATTTCTTCTTCCCAGAATATCCTTACCCCCTACAGAGCTTTCAGTAACATCAGCAAAAACTTAAAAACACCCCCTGCACTCTATTGATATGTTCATGGCTCTGGGTGATAGAGAAGAATGAGGCCCCTTTGGGTTCTTATCTGTGCTCATCCAGTTTGAGTTAGAGTCATACTTACTCAAGATAGCTAATCCTAAAACAACATTTAAGAGCTAGGGATGGTAGTGGGCTGGGAAGAGTGCTGGACCTACAACCCTGAGGTGTATTAATTATCCTGAGAACCCTTGACTCAGTTTATTGGGACCTGTCTTTGTCTTGTCTCCTTGGTGCTCTTATTTCCTGTCCTTTGATCCAAGGAGTTTCTGAGGTCCCCCCCACCTCGCTATTTTTTTCTCTTTTTGGTTTTACTCATCTGTCCTTTCTGCTTTCACATCCTCCAGTTTGGCCTAGAGCTTTTAGTTCATCACTTCAAAGTACTATTCTGCTGTGTTTTCAACTCTTTTCCCCTTCCTGTCTTCATCCACCATGGCAAACCCAGGCTATCCCCACAGGATGGTGATCTTGGAAGAGTGGCACAGCTTTGTGCTGTTTGTAGCTGACAGATACCTCTAAACCCTTATCTAGGGGGTCTGCATTGTATGTAGCCCTATGCAGCTCTATTTCCTATTGCCATTAACAATCTAGTCTATTCATCATTCTTGCTAAGCTCTGTACTTGTCAAAACTCCCTCCTCCCTCTTAGCATCTATCACTTTTTTACTTTGCAAGGGGAAAATGTAAAAATTTCATCTGATGTCATCTCTCTCTGTTCCTGTCTCTCCATGTGTCTTGTTCCTTTTGTCACAGAGAAAGTTATTTTGATCATGAGATAGCTGTGAGTATCAGAACTCCCAACCGAATGTGGCTTTTTTTCCTACTAGTGCAGATGAAAGGCTGGCTTCATGGTGAATTGATTCAGTGGCTCAGTGATGCTCTCCAGAAGCTAGGATCTTTTAATTTCTCTGCTCTCCTCCATCTCTGCTCTCTACCTTAGTGACATTCCCCTGTAGTATTGAGAAAGAAGTGGCCTCCAACACCTCTTTCAGGAATGTGGGAACCTCTCTTTTCTTGAAGCCCCATCAAATGCCTCCTTAGGTATTTTTGGCCAGAATCAGGTTACTTCACCATTCCTGGAGCAGCAACTATGTCCAAGAGAAGGGCTTTTGTTGATTGGCTTAGACTAGTCAGACTCAAATTGTAATGGCTTGCCCTGTACCTTTGAGCCAGGTATTGGAAGAAGAAGGAAATGGATGTTGAATAGGATCTATCTATATGCCGCCAAAGCTACCCTTTTCCATACTCTGAAATTTCAAACTCTCCTTCCTGTACAGACCTTGTTCTGCCTCCTTACTTGTTTCGTTTATCAGCTGCATCGTTCACCTCATTTCTACTAGCTGTTTCTCATAAGTATTTCAGAGAGGTTTCATTTTTGCTTTCTTAGAAGAAAACAATGCCTCATATCTTGTTGAGCTGCTGTTGCTCTATTTTTCTCTTCCCCTTCAAAATAAGCTTTTGGAATGAGTTGTCTGCAGTTAATTTCTCCATTTTTCTTTTCTCTCACCCATTCTCAACCTGCTAAAATTTGGCTTCCTTTCCTACCTACCGTTGTGCTAAAATTATTCTGTCAGCATCATCAATGACTTTTTTAAAATTATATAAAAATCATTTTTGTAATAATTTATATGTACATCATACAGAATTCAAAAGATTCAAAATATAATATTTCAAAATATTTTAAATATAAATAGAGTCTCCTACTCCGAATCCTGCCAGTCTTCCTCAGCCTGGGGCTGAATTCTGTGGGCAGCATTCTTGTGCCTCTGACCTCCTATTCTGTAGACACTCCCTAATAATGCTTAAGGGCTTTTAAGTTCCAGTGAAACAATAGGAAATCTGCATTGATACTGCCTGGCCCAGTGACAGTTCTGTCAGTCCTGAATTGCCTCTCTGTCTTATATCTCATCCTCTTCTACTTCGATGTTTTCTTCGTCTCAATCTTTTGAAAACATTCCTAGACTTGGGGTGCGTTTCCCCTTTTCTTCTGTCTTAAAGATGTGTCGCCTGGTGTCTGCGACTGCATCCTTACTTCCATTTTATACCCGATCCCTTTGCAGTCTGACTTTTTTCTCACTGCTCTACATCTCAGGGGAAGTTTGCCAGTGAGCTCCATGTCGATAGAGGAAGATTTTCCTAGAAACATTTGACATTATTGCTATATTTTTGATTTTTTTTTTTGTGGTACTTAGAATTGAACTAACGATACTGCCCTTGCTAGTCAAGTGCTCTTCCACTTGAGCCATGGCCCTAGTCTTTTTGCTCTTAGTTTGTTTTTCAGAAAGAGTCTAACACTTTTGCCCCCCGCCAGCCATGAACTGTGATCTTCCTATCTCCACCTTCTGATTGTTGGAATACAGACATGTACTACCACGCCCAGTCTATATTTTGAATCTTAAATGTTCTAGGCTGATTCCCTAGTTTGGCTATTGTGAATAGTGCCACTATTAACATGGGTGTGCAGGTGTCTTGATTTTATGTTGACTTGCATTCCCTTCAGATATATGCTCAGAAGACCACATTCATCTTGAAGTATGTATGCCCTTTGACACCTTAGGGGTTCAGTCTGTCTCTCTGCTCAACTCTTACTTTGGCTCCTTGTCTCTTTTCCTTAAAAGTCTGTTTGTCCAGGTACTTCTTGCTCTATCCATGGTCTTGAGGGCTTATTTCTTTCCACAGCTTTCATTAACAGTGTGTGTTTAGGGAAGTCCCAAGTAGAAATGTCAGGCAGCTCTTTCTCAACTGCAGATTCACACAGTCAGCAGTCTATTGTTTATCTTCATTGAACAGTTCCATAGTGACCCCAAACTCATGATTGTCCAAAATGTACTTGCTGCTTGTATCTGCCCCAGTTCTGTTTTCCTTATGGAGTCCCTCAGAGACTAAACTCCAATAGTCATTTATCAAATGCTGGAAATCCTGTTATTTCCTTGATTTAGCCAATCATCAGAACTTCTCTTACTCCACCCTCTGAGTTGCTCTAGATTTGGCTTGATGTTCATGATGGTAAAAACATCAAGGAACTTACTGGTAAGTGAGCCATAAGTTCTCTAAAATATGCCCATTTATTTACTTTTTGCTTCCTCATTGCTTCCTCACTTACTTAGTTTTTACTTACTTTCCTATACTTTCCTATAGGCCATTGTCTCTCCTCTTTCATGCATACAGGACATTTTTCCTTCACATGCACATGGTTTTGTTGGCTTGTGGATGGTCCCTCATTGGGTTTATTGTTCATTGTCTTTTCATCCTCATTCTCACTCTACCAAAGACATCTATTCTAAGGTATTAAAAACTTTCCATAGTGTTTGTGTATTTCTGTGAAAATGTGTTTTTGTGTAAATCCTTTTAAAATTACATAGAATAAAATTTACTCTTGGGGAGGGCTGAGCAGGTCTGTCAGTTACAACACATGTGTGGAATTGTGTAACCATCACCACAATAAGGATGCAGAGCCTCACCTAGAACGTTTCCTTCTATTGCTTCTCTGTAGCCTATGCATCTCTCCCTTGGCAACCACTGTGTAATGGTCTAATTTACATAATTGTGTTTTGTTACAATTTTCACTTTGGTGTCTTTCATATTTTTTTCCACTTAGTACTATATTTGCAGATATAACATATAGTTAATCTGGTACATAGCCCTTAGGTTGTGCATTCATTTAATCCTATCAAAAAGCCTCTGAACAAGATGCTGTTGTTGCCTATGTTTTGTGAATGAGAAAAATGACTGTTAATATAGATTGCTGTAAGAAACAGGGCACTAAGATGCAGACCAAGGACTAAGTCTTGATGTGGTTCCATGAATTCCTTTGATCATATTCAGATCCAATTAATCCTGTCATCCACTTCTCCTGTCATTTCTTCTGCATTGAGAGTTTGCTCAGAGCCCTGTATTATCTCCCTCACATCAATTTCTATTGCTCTGTCTTTATTTCCTCACATTACCTTCTTTCCTCTCACTTCATACATAGTTGTCTGCTTACTTTGTTCATCTTATTTTCCTCATGGCATCTGACCTGATGCCTCAGATATAGTTTATTTTCACTAAATGTCAGCTGACCTAACAATAGGCTGACTTAGAAACTGTTGAGTAATCTTATATGCAGTCCAGAGCTTGGGTGGTTAGTGAAAATATAGAAGAAATTCACATGGCAGAAATTGTCAAGAAAACTTGGCTGTTGACTCATCTGTAGCTTGAGGGGAAGGGGCAGAAGAATCCTCAGTCACAATCAGCCCTTTTCTCTCAGAGGATGTTTGTCTAAGTAATGACTCCCATGGCTACAAGCATTTCAGGCTTAGTGCCTGATAAGATTCTTGGGGCCACAGACCTTTGCCCGGAAGTTCAAAGAATAACCAGTCCAGGTGAGGTGGAAGATTGGAGTTCTGCAGAACATGAAGATCTAGGTCAGGATGTGACAGCCAAGAAGAAATTCCCAGTTTGCGTTTTTTTCTTCTAACTGGAGCTGCAAGATATTAGAGTTTTTCAGCACAGAGGTGGTCACGGAAGCCTTTAGGATGAGGATACCCCTGTGTGGGAACATGGGTGAGAAAGAAGAACAGAAGACAACTATTGAGCATTGGGAACTATGCTCATGTGGGGGGCAAGGTGAAGAAGGAAAGTGGTCAGGTGTGGAAAGAAAACCTCTGTGGCATGAGATGAAAGAGGATGGATGAAGAAGAACTTTTAAAGAAGGTCCAATGAAGTGTCCAAGAGAACTTGGCTAAGGAGAAGCCCTTGAATGTGGCAATGGGAAGATCTTGGATGACCTGTGGACCACATTCCTTGGTGAAGCAGAAAGGCATGGGAGTGAAAACCACATTACAGTGGAGCCAGGAGGAGTGAGAGGAGGCAAGT